TTATTATTATTAATTATTATGTGTGCTAACAAAAATACAAACAAGCCGAAGAAAAGAAACGAGCATTGCTGTCAAACGAATATGCATCCTCATTCACCATAATATTTTTTTTGTGTGTGAAATCTACATCTTTTAGTCTAAAAACTACATGTTGTGGTCTTTCTTTTATGTCTTACGTTATGACGTTTTGTGAAAAATCTGTACATGATGGAGAAAAATAGATATCATTTTCGGATTCAGCGAACAGAAATTACCGTAGAACATGTAAAAATTTCAAGACAAGAAAACCATCGCAGACCTGTGTAATTATAGGATGTATTATATTTGAAAATAATATCCATTTTATTATGTAGTTTTCCATAAACAAATCTTTATATTTATTTTGTAAATATTCAAAATAATAATCCTTATTGATTTATCCGCTAGGTTTCATATTATAAGTGTTTATATTTCTTCTCAAAGAAAGGACTATGAAGTTATTGTTGATTTCTCCTTTTTTTTCTGTATTTCAGAGCTGTGGTTGTTTCTTAACCACGTTGCTATAATCTTGAATGAACAACTCATGCACTTGTTCTCTTGAGAGTGTGCCTTTATCAGTCTTTGATTACTTGATTATTAATGATTTGCATGTTAGGAGGTTATTACTTGCACAGCTGTTAAAATAAGTTCTTTTACTAGGGATCATATTGTTCCTATAGCTTCTTTGATCTCTAGTTGCCCCCGAGAGAAAGACCCAAAGTTCAACGTTCAAAGTTCAACGAAGTATTCAGACTTTGTGTTTGAGCCTTGTGTGATTGTTATTTAAATATTATTGCTGAAGCACAGCATCAAAAACAAACTCTGCATCAGTAGTATATGTCTGCTTGTATGTAAGTTAAACTTTCGCAACAGGTAAGACATGCATGAAATCGAAGTTAAAGTACAAATACTATACTGTTTCTGCGCGATGTATATCTTACAACTTACACTCGCATTTAATATTGCTGATGCATCACCGCAACTAAAACTGTATAATTTTGTGAACGAAATCATTCAATTCACCAGTCGTGTATCTTTTTTGATTTATTTTTTGCTCATTAATAACTACCTTTAGGCATCTTTTGATGGTAGATGACGTCATTCGTTTGTCACTACTCGTATTTTTTTCTTTGATTGGATTGTTACATTTCTAGTCATTACATGATTTATATAAATTTCTGCATAAGTAGTTAAATTTTGCAAAAGCATTACCACAACTCAAATAGTATATAGAAAAATAATGAAGATATTTAATCTTAGTATGATTGATCAATCAAATTTATATTAGCTATTGCAAAAATACATTAACTTTAGCATTACCTAATGTGGTCCAGGACCCCTATCGGTTTGCTAAACATTGTTCTAAACCACCTTTGCACCAAATTACTTTTATGTCCATGACTATTTATAGAGTTACTAATAAAATGAGTGAAACATTCAAACACAGCAAAATTGCAAGTAACTCCACAAATTACTGCTGAATATCAGTGATTTCGCTCAATGTTTTGGTAAGTTTTTTATACTGAGTGTCTTAACAACATAAGATTAGGAGCACACCACTAGTGAACAGTATTAAAACAAGTCGGTAATTTGAGAATTAATTTAGAATAACACAATAAATTCAATCGATGAATAAAATGACAACATGCTATTGTGCACAGAGCACTAACCAGTGGTCAGCATGCCGAATTATAAAGGTAGGTTCTGTGATTCGTGTCCCGTTGCTACTTTGAGTTTGTAGTTGCGTTAAAAGAGTGACGGTCAAATCCCACTATTCGGTCTGACAAGAGTAGCTAAAGAGCTGTCAGTGAGGACTCATGACTAGTTACTACCCCCCTTCCTAGTCTATCACTTCAATTTTAGAGATGGCTAGCGCACGTAGCTCTCGTGTAACTTTGCGCCAAATGCAACGAAAAAAATTATTGAATACATCTCAATTGACAGTATAACACTGTGTAAACCTAGGACTAAGTACATCTCAGTTGACAGTATAACACTGTGATACACGAGAAAATCTGGGACTAAACAAAACAGAATGAAACAAGTTGGCTTTGTTTCCTTTAGATACTTTTGTGATGTGTAATTTTGAAGGTGTCATACAAGTCACGTAAAACTTGTACAAAAATAACAGATCTAAACAGTAACAGTAATCTATTCAATGCGCATATGTTAATTTTTGAGTATCAGAAAGTATTTTCAAATAAAAGATGAATTATAATACCAAAACTGGTAAAACAATAATTCAACACTTTAGTTTAGCCGAATTTGATTCTATAAACAGAAGCTTTGATTTTTTTTTCTTGCCTTTCATACTTTATGTTGAAGCCATTGATTGACTTTCTGATCGCCTTTGGTTTGCTTTTATCATAATATTTCGTTCGTCAATGCAAAATTAATTTCTTTATATTTGACTACATGAGACTTAGGGAGATGATTTACAATCACCGTCCTTTTTTGACTGTTAAATTTGGTTAACTGAAACATTTCTGCATTGCTCACATAAGTTATTTAAATAATTGAAGACTGAAATGACTTTTGCAAAGAGCTAGCAAAACTGGTGTTCAAAATCATGTAAAATATTTATGTAAATCTATGTAAATATCATGTAAAAGAACTGTTTGTCCTTTATGAAGGCACGTGCTCAAAATATCTAATTATAAAAATGGTATTTCTACAGTTGAACCTTAGCTGCCTTTATACGGACCTGTTAATATCTCGAATACTGAAACTTAAAACTACCGACTTGTAAGCTGAAGTACATATTACAATAAAAAATAATTTGAATAATTAGATGAACAATGTATGAATACCACATACCTTGCTTACCTAAGTTTTTACGGACAAATAGCCAGTAGAGTTCGACGTTTAGGGTCACTTAAGTTAGATATTTTTTCATCAACTGATTTTCATTTGACAAATACATGTACGCGTCAAACATCACAATTTAGTCTCAAACAACCTACCTTATTTAGTCGTATAGTGTCTCTGCTCGTATTAAATATGCTGACTCCTGTAGTTAATATCTCAACGTCAAATCAACTTATAGCAAGTAAAATCGCGGTTTCATTGTGATCAACAGCAAGAACGCTGATAATATTTCGAAACATTAGCTCTCGGATTTGTTTGTGCTAGATGAAGACTTTAATCTCTGATGTTAAAACTACAGAGAAGAGGGCACTGTTCTTTCTTTGCTTGTGAAACACATGATGTGCTTGCTGGAAACTTTCTTGTTTTGTAACTCTGCTTAACTTTTACACGTCTGAGTTATATTTGTATCTGAAGGGGAGGGAGACACTCAGTTACTACAGCGTCGGCTCTAATCTAATTCGTCCTTATGAAACGCCAAGACAAACGTCATTTTGAAGTACGTTCACACAAAACTAGTCACTCGTGTTTGTTTATACGAAACATATGTAATAATATACTCAATTTCTTTTTAATTTTAATTAGATTAATATTATTTACTAGAATATTTCAAATGCTTCGAATATTATAATTATTAATATCACACTAATTAACAATATATTACGTTATTAGCTTTATATGGACTTAGGCCTAAACTAAGCTGGTCAAATCTCGCAAGATATTATTGGGTTTACAGTCGAATGTATCTGTAATAGCGAGGGTATCCAGTTCATGATTCATAGCATTATAATCATTATAAGTTTTAGTTTTCTGGTGCACTGATTTAGAACAATGTGTAATTTCTGTCAGTTTGACTACAGTAACTAATAAGTTAATTTTTATTGTGATCTGTTTAAGCAGCTTACTTTTGATCAAAGTTATTAATAATTGATAGATATGTTTCTATCGGTATTGCATTTTGCCCCCAGTGACACAGCGGTATGTCTGCGGACTTACAACGCTAGAAACCGGGTTTCCATACCCGTGGTGGGCAGAGTATAAATAGCCCATTGTGTAGCTTTGTGCTTAATTCCAAACAAACAAACGTGTTGCATTTTATTATCTGTAATTGTTTACAGATAACCGAGCTGTAACAGTTACTGAAATAAAAACAACTTTATAGTGACTTGTAATTTTATACAGCAGAAATACCATTGTTTATAAGCAGAAAAACTAAAATTAAACTAAAGGATCACGATTTCTTTGGTCTTTTGTATACTAATTTCTACCATTCTTCGAATTTGTAAATATTCTACTATAGCATGCTTTTTTATGACTAAAATGAATACATTTGTTCATCATTTTGACAAGTACATTCATGTAAGACCAAATATTGATTATAACATGTAGAGATATACGTGTTTTTTGTTTTCATTTGTAAAGATTTTATATTCTTAATTTTATATAATCCGATATTAGTTGTGATTGCATTTTGGTCTTGTTCGTACTCATATCGTTTAAAGAAAATCAATTCTAATCACGCAAACTCCATATATTTAAAAATAATTTACTGTTGTGTACATTTTCTCTAAAGGAAGTAACCATAGATAATTCCATGTTATTTTAGTATACTGTTATTTATTGTATAAATACAGTGAAATTCATTAATAATGTTTAATATATCACACAAAAAGCAAGTCTATGTATTATGATAAACGTCAAATCTATAATACTACTGAGATGTATTTATCTGTGTTAACATTTATGGTTTTATTAAATAACAAAATTACATAGACGAAACTGAACCACGTTGTTACTGAATTTCTCTCTATATATAATCACCGACAAAGTTTTCCTGGATTTAAAACTTATGTTACCTTGATTCTATATATGGCGGTAACAACTGTACAAATAGTCATAAGCTCTCCTGGTTTCGTAATGTATTTTTTATGTTCTTCAGCGAATATTTTGGAACAATTTACTTCTTTTCTCACTGAATTCATAAACTGTATGTAAATAAAAATTTTTAGAGATCCTGTAAAAATCATTTTACACTCTAAGTCTAGTTTATTAGTATAAAGTTCGAATAATTGTGCTTTGAGTGAAGATTTTAAAACCATATTGTTAGTTTATTTCGTTAAATAAAAAAACAACAACGATTCTTTAAAAACCTACTGGGGCCCAGCATGGCCAGGTGGTTAGGGCGCTCGAATCGCAAGTTGAGGGTCGCGGGTTCGAATCCCCGTCCCACCAAACATGCTCGCCCTTTCAACCGTGAGGATGTTATAATGTGATGGTCAATCCCACTATTCGTTAGTAAAAGAGTAGCCCAAGAGTTGGTGATGGGTGGTGATGACTAGCTGCCTTCCCTCTAGTCTTGCACTGCTAAACTAGGGACTGCTAGCGCAGATAGCTTTCGTGTAGCGTTGCGCGAAATTCAAAACAAACAAACAAAAAATGTACAGACAGTTTCGATTATTACAGAAATTGATGGATTTAATTTTCTAGTCGGAATGAACTGAACAAACCGGAAAAATAGAAATACGATCAAAGAACGACTGGTTCCACCTCTTAGAATTCATGCATAGTTCTCGCATTTTCTTAACTGGCAATAACTATCATCCAGGGAACTAGATAGGGGATCAGGTGGATATCGCCTTCTGTAAAAGGTAGGCCCCATTTTTTAGATAGCAATTCTTATATGGTCATTTATGATGTGACACCCACTGAAAACTGCCGCAAATTTAGCGCCCAAAATTTACTATTTCTATAATGATAATGTTGCGACTGTTTGCAGTATTTAACTCAAATGTGTAGAAACCAAATACTTTCAAGGTTTTTGTGTTTGTTTGTATGTTGTTAAGCACAAAGCTACACAAAGAGCTATCTCTGCTCTGCCCATTACAAGTATAAAAACCCAATTTTTAGCCTTCAGACTTATCGCTGAGCCACTGGGAAACTTATGGTAATTACATACATATATGTTTGTGAAGTTTGAAGTTTTCCTTCAGCTTGTTTTTAATTATATTTCTTGAAAAAAAGGTTGCGAAAATTATGAAATAAATGATTAAGAATATTAACCATGACGTTTTTTCTAATATCCTGCAACACCAGGTTATTTTGTTTAGAAGTAAATATCTGCATATCTCTTGCTCTCCAGTAGCACAGCGGTATGTCTACGGACTTACAACGCTAGAATCCGGGTTTCGATACCCGTGGTGGGCAGAGCACAAATAGCCCACTGTGTAGCTTTGTGCTTAATTACAAACAAACAAGCATATCTCTTAAATAATTTAGTTTCTTTTTTCAGAGTAAAATATCCAATAAATTTTTTTATCTCAAATATCATGGGAAACAAATATACATTGTTTGTAAACAAAATATCAGAATTTTACATATAACGCATTGAGGAACTGTACACACTTTCTCATCTTGCTTATATCAGACTAACAGACCTGACAGGCCAGATATGTATTGCTAGCTTGAGGAACAATAACTATTTCAATTGTATCAGGGTCTCTTATCGTCCTAAAGTCAGCACAACATATGATTAGGAACTTAATTGATGAAAGCGTCAACTATATTGGAACTATATCTATGGAAAAAATGTATCTCTGAAGCCAAATATGTCTTTTCTAAACACTGTTACTGTCCTCAAACACAAAAACCCTTACTCTGACAGTAATATAACATGGAACCCTGTTTTTACTACAAGCACAGTTTCATGTACACTTCTTATTGCACATACATTTCATTGTTTTTTAGGTTGTCAGGGAATTGCTTTCTGGTCGTCTGTTTTTTTCTTCGGGTTACTGTTGTCATAATTATTTCAGATATACTTTATATAGAGAGCAGCTGGAGGTTTTGAAATTTGGACAGACTTGGAGACTGTTGTAGTCAGTGACACACGTTTAAGGTATGGAGAATGGAGTTTTCTGTTGAGGGAAGACCAAGAAAGATTCCTAAAATTCCTCCTAGAAACTTAATATCCATAAAACCTACCAAAGTAATATATGGTCTCTACATTATAGACTCTGAGGGACAATGTACGAAATTCTTGTCTATGTTCCTCTGACAGAACAGGTGACACATTGTAAGGAACCTCTGCAAATGTACCAGCTGGGGAACATTCAACAGATCTGTGGGCCTTCCATGTCTTTTTTTTAACCAACCTACATTTTCATCCTTATTCAAAATAGCATGGACGAATTGTAATAGGAGGAATTCTTCTGGTCCAACAACAGCTACTATTTCATGTGCTAGCAGATACAAAAATGGGGTCTATTATCATCTGCAGTTCTTCAGTACAATGATATTTAGTGCAATAGTAAATATCAAGGACCAGAACGTCTGTACCATTTCATGTACCACAATTTATATACTCCAAGCTGATGGGCACTGCAAAAGAAATGTACGAGGATCCTCATATCTGCATCTTCATGATTAAATTCAAACTGAGAAATTATTAAAGAGTCACTAGGGCTTACTCCTAAACTTGTTATTGATTTACTGAAACATCCAGAGTGAAGCAGCTGTTTTGTACTTGAATCTGACGACATTCTATCAGGTGACCAAGACTCTGAAAGGAAACTCAGTATGCTAGTTTTGTTGTAAAAAACAGCAAAACCCCTGAATGTAAAGTTGTTAAATGTGCTTTGACATAAAACAGTTACACTGTTCTAACGTATAATTCATCGTTTCTTTTACTGGATTTTAAGCTTACTTATGTTTATGTCAGTCACAACAAAAGTGGATACCTGTTGTACTTGGAGAAACATCTAACATAAGAAGTTGTCTATATCTGTTCTTAATATCCTGTAAGTGTTCTATATGAAGGCAGAACAACCTTTTTATGACATGCATGGCATTGAGAACTACTACAGTTTCCTTTCCACGCCTAGGTCCTCCAGAGGTCCCAAAAAAAGAGGTGCTCGTGTATCAGTGCACTCATCCAAACCAAGTAGATCGTGTATTTTTACTTGGTTACCTCAGTTATTTGAGAAAGTATTTGCGAATCACTTCAACTGGTTTGCCTCTGTGAGACCCTGTTGAATTTCGGCTTTTATTTATCCTCTGAGTTTAAAATGTGTGCACTTTCACAGCAGCTAGCTTCTAGTCTCCTTCTCAAGGCAAAACTCCAAGGCCTTCTGGCCAATATCTCTGACATGTGATAAGTCTTCACATACTGCAATAAAAGCTTGCTGTCCCGTGGCACTGTTAATAATTTCCTTTGATTTCATTGTACTGAAAGTACTGATCATATGATTAGACCCTGCTGCAAGTACATTGGTCACTGCAATTGAGTCCTTTGAGATTCGTGACATTCCTGCTTCATGATGAGGTGAATGAGAATCAAGAGTTCATGTGTATCAGTGTCGTTAGCTGACCTGACACAGCAACAGTAATAAGTTTAGTATATAGCCATTTAATTTGATCCTTTGGATTCATGATTATGCCAGTTAACT